CTGACCCCCCCGGCTCTGCTGAGTGTTCTAACCTTCCAGGTACTTTGGTTTCCTTTCAGCTGATAGTTGTGTCTGTGTCTGTGTCTGTGTCTGTGTCTGTGGTGGAGCAGCAACTCTGCTGACGCTGACTTCTTCAGGTTGACTTTGTTAAAACTGTTCTAGTTTCTGACGAGTGTCGATTCTACGTCCATTTCACTGTGAGCTCAAAGCTGCTTCAGCTGTGACAACATTCCTGACATTCCTGACATTCCTGACCTTCCTGACCTTCCTGCTCCGTGTCAGCGTTACATCACAGCAGACTCCCTCCCCCTCCGGCTCCGTGTCAGCGTTACATCACAGCAGAGTTCAGTTCTGCTGACCCGCTCACTGGTTCCCGGAGGTCTGTCCTCCCTCCACTCTGGGTGTACGTGTTCACACCACAGATGATGTAGGCGCCTCAGTCCAAAGCGAGGCTTCGGGTTCGGCGCCTCCACTTCCTCTGCTATGAGAACGGCTGCGCTGCTGTCGGCGTTCTCTCCTGCAGGGCAGGCTGTGGTGTGTGCAGTGTGAAACTGTGTGGGCGTGTGACCCGTGTGAACCGTGTGAACCACTTTAATGCATCGCAACGATTCTGTAACTGAGAAATTAGAATTAGGATCAAACCTCACTGATGTGAAGTGTTCCACTGTTGAACAGACATGTTGGAGGGTTCGATTCTCTGCCTTCTTCTGGAACAATGCTTTTCTGTTTGGCCGTGTCTGCTGAACTCTGGTCTCCTCTCCTGGTAAACCAGGAACCATGTGGGGAGGCCGCCTCAAATCCTTGAATCTTCTCCCAGTCCCCCTCCTCCGCCCCTCCCATCATCATAGCAGGTCTCACTACCATCCTGTGTCACAGCTGGTTCAAGCTGGAATGATCTGCCTCCAGCAGAGGACCAATCAGCTCACAGGATCACTCCTTCACCGACCACTAGGGTTAGGGTGTCACTTCACTTCACTTCACTTCCTGCTGCTGTCAGTATCAGTGCCAGCGTCTCAGGTTCTGGTCCTGGTTCTGGTCCACACCGTCCCAGAGTTCTGTCTTAGACCAGCTGAAGGACCATGTGACTGTGTGCAGGTGTTCTCCAGGCCCTACACACCGGACGCCGATGGGACCTGTCGTCAGCCGCTGACAGAGTACGTGGTGGATGATTACAACCTGTGCTGCAGTAAATGCCCCCCAGGTAATGACCACTTCCTGTTCATCCTCTGTCAAATCTCCACACAGACAGAAACAGATCAGAGCAGGGATAACAAACACAGGGTCGGGGACCAGTCCCGGGCCGCACAGAAAGAATATTGTATTTATAATTTCATCAGTCTGTGTTCCAGTGAATGGTATTTTGTTTTGAAAACCTATTGTATTTATAATTTCATCAGTCTGTATTTCAGTGAATGGTATTTTATTAACTGTTTTCATTAACCAGTCTTGTCCAATCAGAGAGCAGCTGGCCTGCCTTAGTTCCACCTCCTCCTTCTTCACTTCTCGTCTGAATGATTACAGTTTTTTTTTTCATGCACCAGTGAGTGTTTATTTACAGTAAAGACAAAAAAAATGTACCAAAATAATAAATTACACAACGATTCAAAAGAGGGAAGTATTCACAATATATATATATATTTATATGGTGGTTTGTTGTAGTGAGAGTAGAATTAATGAGCTGTGGATCAGGGAAGTGATGAAGCTGCTGGAACACAGAGGAAATTTAAAAAATACATTTAAAAATAACAGGGTTTTCCCAAAGGGACTTTTGAAAATGAATAAAAAACAGTAAATCTGAGTTTATAAAAAAACAAAAACAATTATAGCAACATTTGACGGAAAGTTTCACAGCCGTGGACATGTGTGTGTGTGTGTGTGTGTGTGTGTGTTGCTCCAGGACACCGTCTGGTCCAGGAGTGCTCCATCACCACAGACACTCAGTGTAAACCGTGTGAAGCCCAACAGTTCATGGAGTCCTGGAACTACGCTTCAAACTGCTTCTCCTGTCAGAAGTGTAAACCCAGTCAGTGACTCCAGCGTCGCCACTTCATTCTCCTCATCCGTCTTCAACCTGTCTCCTTTCCTTTAAACTCTGTTTTCTTCTCAAACAGAGAAAGGACTCCAGCTGGTCCAGAACTGCTCCTCGACCTCCAGGTCCACCTGTTCCTGCCAACCTGGGATGTACTGCCTGCTGGGGTTTGACCATCCGTACTGCACTGAATGTAGAAAGTACACGCACTGTGGAGTTGGTTATGGAGTACACGTACCAGGTACAGTGCTTTTTACTCATTCTTTTATTTTAATATAACATTTCCCTAAATGGCCTCTGGGGGCAGGTTAGAGTGATGTTAATGCTTGGAGACAAACAGAAACATTCAAAGATATGGAGAGAGTAAAATCATTGACATATTTTACCGTAGTACTGGTGAGTGCTGGTGCAGTACCATGTGACTGGTTTGTTCCCAGGGACAGCGAACTCAGACGTGAAGTGCAGAAAGTGCCCTGATGGAACGTTCTCTGACACAAACTCCTACACTGACCCCTGCTGGCCGCACACAGAGTGAGTGACGGAAGGCTGCACGTGCTATCATCAGCTGTTCAAACCCTGACCTTTGACCCCGTGTTTTCTCCCCTTCATGTCTGTTTGTTTTTCTCTGCAGCTGTCACGGGGGGGCCGTGATTAGACACGGTGATTCGACCTCAGACGCAGTGTGTGAACCCCCCCCCCTTTCCCACAGCACTGGCTTTGTGTTCACCACTGCATCTACAATGAGGGGCGCAGTCTCAGCAGTGTCCAACAGCACACTGTCTGTTGGGACATCTGTCTCCAAGGACGTGGACAGCCCTGCAGCAAGAAGCCCCCCCCCCACTGACTCTGGCGTTAAACTAGGTATGACAGTAAAATATTGTACTTTTTAATCATGAACAAAAGTGTCAACAGTGTCCAACGTGTCCGTCCTCTGTTGTCTCGTTAGCTGCTGTCGTTGCTGGAGTCGTTGGACTCCTGGTGTTTTTCATCATTCTGCTCCTGCTCTTCTTCTTCAAGACAATCTGGAGGAAAGGTAAAGGACTTGAATCAGTCTTCAACCTTTGAGGTGGGGGTGGGGGGGGGGTGCATCTACAGATATAATTATATGTAAATAAGCAGCACAGATGTTTTTATTATTGTAAGTCATATTTTCAGGAAGTATTTACTGATGCTGTCCACTTCCTGTTTTCGGCGACAGACGCTGCAGGAGTTCATCCTAAACTGGATGCAAACGGAAACTGTGAGAGTGGAGACAAAGTGAGTCCTTATTGTGTTTAACTTTAGCCTTTAAATACACAGCTCATCAAAACGTCTGTTTTCCTTCTCAGCTGATTGGTCCACACTGTCTGGGTGACATTAAGATGAGTTCCTTCACAGTCACTGAGCAGGAACAACAGGGTCTTCTGGATGAAGCAGGGGTCTCCAGTCTCTTCAGTCAGACCAGTAACAAAGGTGAACCGTTGACTGACACACACCAGTCCATCAGCTCTTCACAGTCCACTGCACTGTTTAACAATTCCTGCTCCGCTCGGTCCGAGCCCTCGACTCTGATGTCCACCACAGAGTGTACCACAACCCAGTCCAGTGCCCCCTCCCAGTCCAGTGACCACTCCCAGTCCAGTGACCACTCCCAGTCCCGTGCCCCCTCCCAGTCCAGTGCCCCCTCCCAGTCCAGTGCCCACTCCCAGTCCAGTGCCCCCTCCCAGTCCAGTGCCCCCTCCCAGCCTACCAGCCCCCAGATCATCACCCCTGTGACCACCAGTCCTCATGTGAACGTCAACATCACCTTTCACATAGGTAATGGTTCTTTCATACCACATGCAGAGCAGGACTGTCAGTTACCCCTCAGGGAGGAGGGAGACTCCTACAGCTTTCCACAGCAGGAAGATGGCAAACAGTTACAGGTTTCCACTCTGGACACTAGGGGGTATGAAGGGTCCGTTCATGAAGTTAAAATGGAAGATTAAACCCAACCAGACCGGCTAAAAGTCAGAGACTGAGTTAAAGATAAATGTTGTTACATTAATGTATGTATGTGTAAATGTTTGTATATTCCAGAAAAATACATGTAAATACTGTGCATTAAGTTAATGAACTTTGTGATATTGTAAAGTATGTAAAAATCTACATTTTATATTTTACCATTTTCTAATTATTGTTTTATTTCTAAATGTTTTTGAAAAATATTTAAAAAATGTTTAACGTTTAAAACATTTTTGGGATGCCAACATGTACATTCTAGGTGTTTGTTTTTTTTAATCTGTCACGCAATATTTGATGCAGCTTTGTTAATAATGTAATATATTGTAACCTTTTTTTACCATCTCAAAAAATATTTTTTTAAAAACTTGAAGGTTTGTTTTTGTCAGGAAATCATTATAGCTTGACATTGTTTAAGTTATATATCCAAAGAACCTTTACTTCATATACTTGACTTTTTAGTAACTGAGTAACAAACACAGTTAAATTGGCCATTTGGACACTTCTTTGTTTGTCTTCTTTGTCTTCTTTGTTTGCTGGTTAACATGTTTATAGTTCAATTACACAAGGATGTTGTTTAACATCACTTAAAACAATTTTTCATCCCGTATTTGTCGTTTTATAAAATTAAATATGAGGTGTTCACAAACCGTGTAATCGTATCATTTCCTGGAGTCGTTTAAATTTTGAATTATTTTTTACTTTCCATCGAATCACATATTAGTAAAGGTTGTTTGTGCCTTTTCTGCGGACACTCCTGACACCCAGTGGTGGAAAATGGACGTGGCAGCCGTTAAGAAGCCATTTATGTTTTCCTTATAAAACACCTTACATAACAATGACATTGATTTTAAACATAAACAGTCACTTGTTTCAATAGTGTGTATAACGGAAGAATGTTGCGCTCGTCGCCTTATTTTATTTTCACTAATTCGTTTCTCGTAATCAAGACGGCTAAGCAGCGATGCTAACAGGAAGGGATGAACCATTCCTGTCCTGAGGGGGGGGTGAGACAACGGTGTGCTTTATTCAATTTACTTATACTTATTTGCGAGTCATCTCAGATTATTCAGTTATAAAATTTGTTTAATTCGATTTGAATAAGTCGTTTAAGTCCACGGTGGACGTGTCGACCGACGGTCCCACCCCGTGGTACAGCACCGTTGGTACGGTCTGTTGCCGCTGTGTGTTGCTCTTCTTCCTGAAAAGACTTGCACTGGAGTCCCCGATGTCGCCGCACTTACAGTGGTGAGTTCAGGCTTTTCCTGTATTATTTTTAAATCAAATTCTGATTAAATTACCAGTCATGATAATACAGCTCAACATCTCAGTGTGTATGCGTAGAATTGATGTTTATTTCATTACGTGCCTTGTTAATTTAGTGTTTAAGCCCTTTGTTTTGTGGAAAGTGTGCGGTGTCTCTGAACCCGTTTCGTCCTGTGGTGAAAGGTGTCTCCCGGTTCTGCTCGGTTGTCTGTAAATCCAGGTCAGCAGTGAGGAGGCTGCACACAGTGACCGGCATGTGTGACGGTCTGACCCGAGCATCTACTGTGAGCTTCACCATAGTTTCTACTTATAAAACCTCTGTCAGGGCATTTAAACAGACGGTGTTCCTCAGCGGAGAGGGAGAGAGTGGGAGAGAGAGAGCGAGAGGGAGGGAGAGAGTGGGGGAGAGAGAGGGAGGCGTGAGCGGAGATAATAGCGCTGCAGGTGTTTCCTTGTTAGCCTGTTGTTTGGTGCCGACGTTTCATCAGTGAGAAAATATGAAGAATTCAATAAAAGTTGTTATTCTGACAGTTTCTTTGAATCATTGAGTCAATCAATGGACGGATCTCTGTTTCACAATTAAGACGTTGTCTAAAAGTAGAGATTCAAGTGGAAATTCCCCAAAAAGCCAACCTGCACAGTGTTCTGTATTTGCACTGTGTAGCACAACCAGAAGAACAATGCAAAGTGAAACGTGTGATTGTCCCATTTACCTGACAGGTGGTCTTTAAATAGGCTCGGGAAGTTTTGTTCCCATGGGTCAGTTTCAAGATTGTGACGCTGAGCTGGAGAAGTCCAACAAATCAACTGCAAGAACAGTAGCATAAACAGTCCAGTCTATGTATGTATGTGTATATATACACACACGTGTGTGTGTGTGTCTTTTTTAAGCTAACATTTTAAAGTTCTTTTAGAAAAGGTTTGAATGGCAGACTTATCATCACACTAAATTGTACAATATTGCCAGGCGTCCTTTTACCCAGACCGACTGTCCGTCACACAGACCGACTGTCAGTCACACAGACCAACACCATTGTTCTGAATATCTAGAACACATTTCCTCTTAGTCAAACCTGAATTATATCAGCATCATTATCTCACTGAGACGCCAGGATGTTTGGTCTTCTGCTGCGTCAGTCTGTAACTTCTAATGTTCTGTCTCATGAATTTGGTCCTTGAAACAGTCCTTGGAGATTTACCAGGTGACACAGAACCAGAGGCAGCAGCTGCCGTGTCCCTGTGATGTGAAAATGCTGATTTTCCCCACGGCCTCTGCTGCAGAGTGAGCAGTTTCTAACTCAGGATTTCACCTAAAGAGGTTGTCCAGCAGCACTAGAACACAGACCATAACAAACGGGACTTTTGTCAGGAGCCCTGACTGTGTTGATCCACCAGTGACCCACACAGTGTTAGCTGCGAGTGTCCATGTCTAATGACACACAACAGACAAATAATCTGTTCATGATTTTATCTTTCAGTTCAATAATGAAGAATCGCTGTTGTTATTTATTGTTGTTTACCGTCGTTCAACAGACTCCTGGACTCCAAAGAATTGTTCCTCCGTGACATCGAAGTCTTCAGGTTCAGAGCCCCGCCCTCTTAGATGACTGGTCTCCCTTAGTGTCTGTCTTTGCAAATGGCTTGCTGTCTGAAGGACGAGCTGCTCTGTTCCATCTGCCTCAGCATCTACCAGGACCCCGTCAGCTTCGGCTGCGAGCACTACTTCTGCAGGAAGTGCATCACAGAACACTGGAGCAGACAGGAGCCTCACGGCGCCAGAGACTGCCCCGAGTGTCGGAGGACCTTCGCCGATCCTCTTCTTTCTCCCAGTCTCAAGTTGTCCAACATCGTAGAGCGCTACTCTGCGTTTCCCCTGGACGCCATTCTCAACGCTCAGAGGAGCTCCTACCCCTGCAAGGACCACGAGAAGGTCAAGCTCTTCTGCCTGACTGAAAAAAGCCTGGTGTGCTTTTTCTGTGACGAGCCTGCGCTGCACGAACAGCACCAAGTCACGACTATTGACGAGGCCTTTGAGGAGATACAGGTGAGTTGATCACATGATCACGGTGAAAGCTGGTTTAGTTTTATTGATCCCAGCCTCTGAGGAGCTACGTTCATCTGTGCAGTTTGGACCGAGCTAAGGACAGGAGGAGGGAAAATGTCTGAGAGAAGATTAATTTACAGGAGAAACAGGTGGTTTATTAAAAAGAATCAGATTGTTGTCGTCTTCACTTCAACATGGAAGGTTCTGGTCTACAAAGAAAACCTCAGTAAACAGCAAGTTTTCAAACCTTCATAGAAACCATTTGTTGAACCATTGATTGGTTGAAAACTGAAAACTCTGGTCGTTTTCATCATCAGACTGAAGTTTCAACTACATCAATAAATGAAAGTCTGATTAGTGCGCTAGCAAAATAACTGTTGGCAAATCATCCCTGAGGTGATTCACTTTGGTTGTGTCCAGTAATTAGCATTTAGCTTCAGATTCACTGAAACACAAAGCGACAGTTCAGACCATCGTAGTGAACCACGGCCCAGTGAGAAGAAACCGTGTCATTGGTGAATGGGTCCATTTGGACCAGAAGAAACGCTGTGGTGTCGTTGCTCTCGTTACATGCGTCGTTAGCAGCTGGAGTAGCTAATATTCGGAGCTCAGACCAGGAGAGGTTGCTGTTGGTGTTGGTGTGACTCCGGGGGGCAGTAGAGAGAATTCTGAGTGATTTTACATTAATGCTGGTCACTGAGAGCTTGTCCCTCTGTACTGAACTGAAGACGGAGACAGACGCCGGTCTTCAGCTGAGCTTGGCTGACTCTGAGTTTCCTTAGGAGTAAATAAATCACAAACCTCTGTAATACTGTTTCTGGCCACCGTGTGTTCAGAGACGCCGCGTGCCAGATGGAAGCTGCCGGTGAGATTCTGTCTCTCTGTGACTTCACTCTTGGCACCGACATCATTTGGAGCAGCAGGACTGTGCCAGATGGAAGCTGCCGGTGAGATTCTGTCTCTCTGTGACTTCACTCTTGGCACCGACCTCATTTGGAGCAGCAGGACTGAGGCCGTGTTGAAGTGCACTACAGTGCGGGGTGGGTGGGGGGGGTCCCTGGGGCGTGACCCGTGTCGACTCAGCTGTGGCCGACTTCCGTCGGTCACTCCTGCCAAGGACAACATGGCCGCCGCAGTAACCTACCTGCCTTTGTTGTTTGGATCAATACTGCCTCTGCTGTGTGACCATGGTACTGCAGTGGAAACACTACTGTCCAGGGTTAAACAGTAGCAGTGCACAGTGCAGTTCACCTAAACCCACATAGAGGGCGTTCCTGAAAGTCACACACACACACACACCTGTCACTCAAAGCATCACATGAATAGGTGTGTAGTTGGTCTGATCCAGTTGAGTTCAGTTGGGTTGAAATGAAGGGACAAAACTGAAGAGTGTGTTGCAGTTGATAAAGAGGTGTCTTCAGGTTGCTGTGCTAAGGACTGACACACCCCCCACCCCCCCCCCCCCCCCCCCCCCCCCCCCATGTTGCTGCTGCAGTAATGAGTCAGGTACCTTCAAGGGCACCCACGTTTGCCGTCCCTCCTGCTCTTCTTTCCCGTGGCAGCTTCAAGCCTTTTATTTGTGTTCGACTCCTCAGCGTTCTCGCTCCTCGGCGTTCGCTGCAGCTCTGACAGTTGGTTCTGTGAGGTCTTTTCTTCTGGTGAAGCCTCACACTCTACTGGTTCCCAGCGTTCCAACCACTCACTAATGACTTCCTTGACTGCAGTCACTGAGGTTCATGTGGAAATCGAGCCACGAGGATGACAACATCACTTCTTTGTCAAGTGTGTTTTGGTTTTTGTCCCTGGGTTCATTCCTGATAGTGGTGGTGATGCTAGCAGCCGTGGCATCTTGTAGCTAACGCTCTTTGCTAATTAGCATGTAAACAGCATTGATCGGAGAGAGACGAGCTGCTGCTGCATCCAGCGTCAGATGACCGTGTCATTGAAGTGAAGTGGGACAGATGTCCCTCCATCTGTGCTGCGGTACTCTGTGACGGCATTTCTTTAAAGTGTTCTGCAGAGATTATTTGGAGTTGTATTCTGTCTTTGAATCTGTGTCCGTTCCTCCAGTACCACAGGGTTAGGGGGTTGAAAAGGTTGAAGTGAAATAATGACTCAGTAACTGAATCAGCACTGGATCGTCAGGTGAATTAGACGGAGCAGTAATCTGATGAACCGTCACACAAGTCCTGAAAGTAGGTGTATGTGAGGAAGTATGTGAGGTGAGGTGCAGGAAGTATGTGTTAAGGAAGTATCAGTGTGTACTTTTTACTGCTCATTCACTGCATCTTGTTCTCTAGAACTAACAAAGTGCCTCAATCCTGATGATTCATGGTGTGTGTTGAGCTAGTTTGACTGAGGTCTTCCTGTCAGACAGCTTGTCACATGTGTGCAGGCTGTAACAGGTCCTGCAGGGCAGATCGGCGCAGGAAGCATCAGTGCTGAGATTCAAAACAGATAATATTTAAACAACAAAATATTAAGTGGTACGTGAGCAGAGCCAGTTCAGCCGACCTGCAGTGACCTGCAGTGACCTGCAGTGACCTGCAGTGACCTGCAGTGACCTGCAGTGACCTGCAGTGACCCTGTGCTGCAGCTGTCCCACTCCAGCTTGGCTTGATTAGCTCCAGTATTAACACAGATTACAGCGATTGTTCTCTCCGACTTTAACAGAGCTGGACTGGACCATAATCCCCTGTAATACCTCGTGTACGTGATTTAATTAGACGTGCTACTGAGAAAAGTCCTCATTTACTACAGTGGGCCGACACGCGCAGACTTGTCTCCCTCTGTGGAAGTTCTGATAAGAGTTAGGAGCCTGAAAATGTGAGCACGGTAATGAGGCTACAAAATAATTACCATCACGCTGCTCATTTGATTAGAAACTTGTTTCGTTTCTTTACAACCAACGACTGATCACATAAACACATGTTCATTTTATTGTTAGAGGTGGAAAGAAACCAAAGTAATTCAACGTTGACAAACTGTCAATTAAAAATGGTTATAAACTAAGTCAATGGTTGTTGTTTTTTGGACCTGCTGAGGTGCCGCGGACGTCCATTACCAACAGTCGGTCTTCTCTTTAACGGTCTTTAACACGGCGTCCGACTGATTTGTATTCAGCTCCGACTCACTCTTGACTCACACTTCCTGAGAGCTTCTTTATCTGCTCTGATGCATTCAGTGTGCGTCTCGTGTTAAGCAACAGAGGGATGAGTAACCAGATGTGTTGGCCGTCCTCACCGTGCATCGTCCTCTTCACGCCACACACTGCTGACCTGCTGTGGTTCAAACCTGCACTTCCTTCAGGACAAATGCAGTTCCATCGTGGCGTTTGTTCTTAGCTGTCTGATTTTTATTAACCAATATTCTGTTGCTGTTGTTGCTGTTGTTGCTGCTCCTGCTGTTGCTGCTGCTGCTGCTGCTGCTGTTGCTGTTGTTGCTGCTCCTGCTGTTGCTGTTGGCCCCAAATGAGGCCAGTGAAGATCAAAAGGTGTTGTAACAAAATGTTCCTCCTCTTGGTTTGGTTCCAGCCCGCCGTCATCTGCTGCTCCTTCTTTTCTGCCTGGACACACACTAGAAACACTAAACATTGTCTGTTTTGTCCTTGACTCCCGTTTATTCACCTTCGTTTTCCTCCTGACTCCTTTTTTGTTTAAAAGAAAACTGAGAGCATTTAAAACCACATAGGTCTCAGCCAGAGGTCGGGGGACAAACCATGGGGCAGGGGCTCTAAGGTGGCCCATGTTTTAGCTGGCAATTTTCCAAGGACAGAGGTGATTCTACAGAATCACATCATCGTGATTTGCACGGAGGGTCTGTTTGTACCGATGTCCGTCTGTCAATCACAGCTGTCAACACGTTGTTCTGACTGAGAGAAGAAACGTTCACCAGAACCGCGTCGTAGGTGGTCGAACCTGAGGTTACGTCAGTGTCAGTGAACACAGACGCATCCACGCAGCCACCGATTCACACCGTCATTAACACCAACCACAACGTCCGTCGTATTCTGTTAAGAGAGAATGTTCTTTGCCTGTGGCTCAGTGGACGGTTGGATGAAGGAACTCAACCTCTGACAAATGAGATTAAAGAAGTTTGTGTATATTCTGATCATGTGGACACTGCACTGCACAGACCGTCACTTCTAACAAGTGTTTACAGAGTCTGTGAGTCATCAGTGGGTCGGAACACTGACCCTGAGTGGAGTCGACGCAGATGCATACTTTATTTGGTCAGATGGCGCTGCAGCCTCAACACTGAGAGGAGCTGGAGATCTGGACAACGACAGACCGGCAGCATCATCGGCTTTGTTTGTTCCCATCAGGCCCTTTGTTTCGTGCTACATGGTTTTATGTTGGGCACGGAGCGAACATTAGACTTAAGAGCTTTCGCTGGTTGTAGTGAAAATTCCCCGGCAGTGGTTTCCATCAGCGTGTTTATCCACGGTGAATCTCCAGGATGAAGCGGACAGATTAGAGGGTTTGCAGGAAATGCAGTTTTCCTGAGCCGCGGCGTTAAGCCCTTCATGAATGTGCAGTTTGTTCTGGTTCCAGGTGGAGCCTCCAAATATAGCTGCTAACGCTATCCTGACTAACGAGCCCAAACGTCAACCGTGGAGCTACAACGACAAGGTTGTAGCTGCAGAAACATCTGACCTGATTAAACTGTGAGGCACATTAAAAATACACCGTTTAGTCTTTAGGCCACAGTCCTCACTCCAGCGCTGCACCAGCTGTGACTGACAAACCAACAAACCTGACGAGACAAAGATGAAGAAGTCATCAAGAAGTAACAGGTCCAACCTCCTTTGACCTGCTTGTATTTTCTTGTTTTCTTTTTGGGGGATGTTTGGAATACGACGTCATGTGATCTCAGAGGTGGGGGTTTACAGGCCCTTAGAAAACACTGGCTGACACTTTTATTCTATTAGAAATTCAATACAATTATTATTAATATATAAACATATATAAACAATGACCAAATACTGACATAAAACAGAGAAAATGGTCTTTTTCCAAGTCTGATTCATAGACGTGAAGAAGCTGAACTAAAAATCTCTCTGAGTCACAGAAGAAGATCCTAGTGATGTCATCTCAGCGTCTTCAAACCTGGTTTTGTTTTTCCTCCTGATCAACAGCCAGACACGGATGTGTCGTCTCCAAACTAACGGCTGCTTGGAGGAGGTCTGTGACCGCCTCCTTGGACAGAAAGCCTGAAGACCAACCCTCCTCTCTGTTTCTGCCACAGTGCCGTTGTCACCCCTCGACCCTCCTATCAGCACCACAGGAGCGCTTCTCCAAAACAAGTCGTTCTTTGAATTATCGAACTCAGGACTGAACGACTTTGTCACGTTTGTCTTTGTGATAAAACCACGTTGTTCTCAGTGCTGCCTCCGCAGACCTTTGTCAGCAGTTCCATCATCATAAATCTCTTTTTCACATTAAGGATAAAAATATTAAAAGTGTCGAGCTGTGTTTGTGTTTTCTCCTCAGCTACTGTTTTCATTATATTTGGACTCGTTCTCTCTCCAGGAGGTGGAGCCTGCAGTGGTCGACCTCCGGGGTCTAGATCTGCCTTTACCCAACGTCTCCTGATCAGTAAGACCTGGTCCTGGTCCTGGTCCTGGTCCTGGTCCAGGTCTACATCTGAACCCTAACCCTGGTCTCACTGCTACAGTGACCACAGTTCAACTCTGGGCTGTTCTTACTGACGGCTGACAGTGAATTGACACTGACTTTTATTTATGGTCCACTCTGACACTTCTGTCCTACCTACAGTGTGGTCCAATCTGAGGCTCCCTCTGTCTCACTGGGACAAACATTAGTGTTGACACTAGGTTGTTCTTCCGTCCAGTTCTGTCCACAGCAGGGGAGCCTGAGCTCTGGCTCCCCTGCTGGCTGAGCTGACACACAGCTACAGGGACACACACTCACTCCCCCCCCCTCCAGGAACACGACTGGACTGTGGTGTGAAAGCCTGGGTGGTTCTGGTTCTGGTTCTGGTTCTGCTGCTGCGTCCACACTGACATGTTCTGGAATGTTCTTACCTTTGTCTGTGTTTGACCTGTCAATCTGAGGCCAGGTTTTATTTTTCTTTGTCCCATTTCCTGCCATTGTCGGCGTCTCTCAGCGTGGGTGGGCGTGGCCTTTGACCACACGGCGGTGCCGGTTGTGCTGCACTCCCATCATTAACATGGACGGCCACGCTGCCGCTCTGCACCAGTTGTTGTTTCTCTCCTCTTCGACGGTCGCCCGTGAATCCACCGGCCGTCCGTTTCACAGCTGATGATTGGCAGACGGGGTTTTGAACGGCAGGACATGTTGATGCAGTCACTGTCATTCATACCAACCACCACCTTAACTGTTATTGACTGAACGTCTCCACCCTGATGTGTTTTTACAGCAGCGGCCGTGACTGATGATCTTATGTTGAGGCTTTAATCTGCTGCAGTTTGATTATATACAGGCAACAGANTGGAGGGGAGGGGGTCTCATTTATAACCACTGATAACCTTCTTAGATTCATCATTACATCTGTTCCTGAAGTTAAAGTCAACTCAGATATAATTATATATATAATTATATTATTATTATATTGTGACCAACATTTGCATTTCTCTGTCTGAGAAACACCTCAGTAAACTGTCTGTACCTCTGACCCCTGGTGGACGTTTGTCTGTGTTGCAGAGGGAGATGAAGGAGCAGCTGGTCACCCTGCAGGACAGTGAGAGAGGACACACAGAGGCCCTGCAGCTCCTGCAGAGACAGCTGACTGAGACCAAGGTAGATCATTGGACGCTGCTCAACCACTTCCTCTGATTGGACGAGACGGTTTCCTACCATACAAATGTATGTGTCAGAACACATACATTGGTTTATTGAGTGGAGGTTTATTTTCCACACCTTGGTTGTTTGGCCAAGCTTGAACGTCCACGCAGTGTCCCCCCCTCCACCCCCTGACC